GGTGCCCGCGGCAATAGATTCCGAGAGGTACTTCTCTAACGCTTCGCGTTCAGGAGCAGATAAAGAGTACAATCGACCGCGAGGGGGAGTGGTACCGGGAATTAGATCAATCGAGCAATCATACGGTCGATGAGGGAGGGAAGTGGCCCGAGAACGGCTGAAGACCGCCCGCAGATCGAGGTACTCCTCCGGCACACCGTTCAAATCCCCGGGCTCCTCCTGAAACACAGAAACAGAGGAGACAGGAGAAACTGCAGATACAAGACACTCAACATGACACGACATGACCCATGAAAGAATGGAGTTATTAGTCCAATTAATCTGAGGATTGTGTTTAGCTAACCAAGGATGGCCAAGAACAACAGGGCAAAAAGGAGATTGAAAAATATATATTTTTTTTTAAATAGTCTCTTGGTGGTTCCCTGATATGGAGAGACTCACCTGCCGGGTGGATAGACGGACCTTGGATATGACACTACCGTCCAGGGCAAACACCGGCGTGGAGTCTTCAAGGTCAGCCAGTGGTATGCCATGTTCCCGTGCCCACTGCTCATCGATGAAACTGGCCTCCGCCCCGGAGTCGATGAGGGCCAGACAGGATGCTGCACCGCCCGACCACCGAAGAGTTACCGGGAATGTAGTGCGAGACTTAACTCTGTATCTGGGGGAGAGGGTAGTCGCGCTCGCCAGCAATCCCCTGGTCACTGGCGAGCTCTGGCTTTTACTGCGGAGGTGGAAACAAAGTGGGTACTCGAGCCACAGTAAAGCCAGAGACGATTGGCAATTCTTCGCTGTCGCTCGGAAGCCGAGATGTGGATACCACCAAGTTGCATGGGCTCAGCCTCCGGCTCGACTCTTGCTGGGACAGAGAAGGTGGGCGGGGAGACCGGTTGTTCCTCTCTCCAACCTCGAGCGTGGTGGCGCATTTCCAAGCGCTTCTCGAGACGGATAGCGAGCTCCACCAACTGGTCGAACCGATCAGCAATCTCACGGGCATATATCTCCTCCTTAAGGGCAGAGTGAAGACCCTCCAAGAAGTGAGCAACCAGGGCTGGTTCGTTCCAGCCAGATGAGATGGACAAAGTACGAAACTCAATGGCGTAATCTGTAACTGGACGTTTACCCTGTCGAAGCACGGCGAGGGCTCGAGAAGCCTCCTGTCCGTGGACGGATCGGTCGAACACCTTGATCATCTCCTCCTTAAATAACTCAAAACGCTCAGTCAGATCCGAATCCATTCCCCAGACGGCAGTTCCCCACTCGCGCGCCCTCCCCTTCAACAGGGAGATAACGGAAGCGATGCACGCCGAATCACGTGCATAGGTGGTTGGCTGCAGGGAAAAGACGACCTCACACTGCGTGATGAAAGAGCGGCACTCAGTAGGTTCACCGGCATAGCACGGGGGATTGTTGATCCGGGGTTCAGCAGAACCTCCGCGAACACTGGGGGCCTCCAGCTGGAACTGGAGCCGTGATGACAGGTCTGAAACTTGGACAGAGAGGCTCTCCACCGCACGGCGTGCCTCGGAAATCTCCCCATCATGTCTTCCAAGAAGCGCTCCCTGGGCCTCGATCGCCGAGCGAAAAAGGTGCCTCCTCCGCTGGGTCCATCTTGGTCAGACTGTTCTGTTACGTGGAGAACAGAGGACCCAGATGCAGAAAAATGTCTTTTATTCTTCCCAAACTCGAACTAAGGGGGCTGCAGTCAGCAGACGCAGTCCGGGACAAGACTTACAGTAGATCTCGAAAAAGACAACGCTGGATTGGTAACACAAGGACAAGGCAACAGCTCAGCATTCAACAACAGTGACAGGGGAGTAGAGAAACAGTGGTTAGAAATAGTCAAACAAATTAAGCAGTGAGCAGAAACAGGTGAGTTGAGAATCAGTGTGAGAGTTGATTGCTATGGAAAGCGGCTGTGGGCGTTTAGTATGGCGTTATATTTGTGCCACAATCCTGAGCGCGTAATTTTAAGTTTTGAGCACAGAGAACTATATTTTAGCAAAGAAAAACATATTCCGTGCGCGCAGTTTACTCAGGTGCCCTCGCCACATACTGGTTTTCGGCGCGCAGGCAGCCGTTGCTGCGCTCGCTCCACCTCTATACGCTGCGCTCGCTCGACGGTTCACTCACGCGCTCGCTCGACTTGCAGCAGCGTTACATTTGTGCCACAAAACCAACCAATCAGAGAATTAAAGAAGGTCCATTGTGATTGGCTGTTGGTCTCCAATCACAACGCCAGTAGAACTACCTACAGCATCGCGGAAGCTCAGCGAGTTGTTGAAGTTTGCAGCATTTGTGCTAAATGCTAATGGCCTGGATTAAAACACTTGCTGTTCTCATCATTTGCTTCGGTCATGTCTGATGGTGGCTAGCCGGACTTCTAATATCACTCGTTTTCGTCTTCTTTAGGAAGCGTTGTGATTGGAGACCAACAGCCAATCGCAATTGACCTTCTTTAATTCTCTGATTGGTTGGTTTTGTGGCACAAACTTAACGCTGCTGCAAGTCGAGCGAGCGCAGCGTGAAGAGGTGGAGCGAGCGCAGCAACGGCTGCCTGCGCGCAGAAAACCAGTTTGTGGAGACGGCACCTGAGTAAACTGCGCGCACGGAATATGTTTTTCCTTTGCTAAAATATAGTTCTCTGTGCTCAAAACTTAAAATTACGCGCTCAGGATTGTGGCACAAATATAACGCCATAGTTTAGGGCGAGTGAAAGCATGAATGGGAATGAGGAGGTGTGTAATGAGTATCAGCTGGGTGTGCGTGTGTAGAAAAACAAAACAAGGAGGAATCCGGATCATGACAAGGCTCACTGGGCAGAATGTGTTTTAAATATGTCGTTGGTCATCAGCACAAAAAGGGTGTTTATATGTGACCTAATGGACACTTAAAATACTTTGGGAATCGTATCCAGACGTGACAACGCCACTCTTTGGAGGGGAGAGACCCTGAATTCAATTATCTTATTGGCCAAAACCCCATACGAGGTAGATCATAGACAGACAGAGGCTTCTGCGTGTACAATGCAATATCACTTTTATTTAAACAATAACTTTATAAAACCACATCCAAATAATTTATACCAGTAGTGATTGACCGGGGGCACAATGACACTTCCAACAATAAAAACACTGCACACGGTTAAGAAAGGCTAAAATAAGCAACACTACAAATCAACACACTCAAATACGATTACTGATCCTAGTTAAAAGACACAACACAATAGAAGTGGGGAAGGGGGAAGCAACGGTCATCAAAAGGGCACAATATCAGTGTGTTATCTCTATAAATAGAGGGAGCAAGATGGAGGCACTTGAGCACAATCTAAACTAAAACTATGGTCGGAGAAAAAGAGCAGTGGCTGTCCTGCTGACCACTGCGTGTCACCAGTTCAGCCTGAAATGCACAAAACAGCCATTAATCACCAAGTACCCACCATCCTTCTCAGTACAAAACACATAATGTGCTTGCAAGCCCAACTTCCTACTTCCTTGGCCCAATGCACCAGCAGGTAGGACCCTGGGCTCACCAGGTCTGGTTCAGGTCTAACCTTCTACCATAGAAAAGAACATTATATTAATTTCCCCATGGCCTACAAGATGTAGATTAAAATTGCACAACCTACCTCCTTAGTACGGTTTGCTCACCCGCACGGTACTGGCGAGCAACAAACAAAGCACCCAGACTTCAGCACATGCCGGACAACGAGAACAAACGTGAGTTGCTCAACTCTCACGGGATCTCCTTTATATGGAGAGGCTCTCCTTGAGTTTAAGCCTCCCGCTCTATGCTGAGGCTCCCAGGTCCTAAGGTCCCACCGCTCACATATATAATTCAATCCGGAGGGACTTGTTGAAATTTGAACAATGCTTTATTATAACAGGTATAATATGATATTGCAAGTTGTTTGGGGCTTGGACTCCATCCTGCCGCAGGATAGACCCGGGGCCGGGAACTCGAGCCGAGATGAGCCATATCCCCCCCTTGGGAGTCCAGACACCGGTGGTGGTGGTAGAGCCCAAGTTGCATAACTCTCCTGCTATGCCAGGTTCTGCTGTAGATTGGAGGTGTCAGGGGTGGTGGCGGGTCACCTTTGGAGCGTGCTGAAATGACAACTGACAGCACAAGAGAGGAGAACAGTTTTTAACGTTTGCCTGCCCCAATGCGATTGGTTTACGGTAACGACACCCACGTCTGATACTACCCGACCCCGCCCCTAATCAGCTGGCCGTGCGCCCCCAGGGAGAGAGGAGGCCACCAGGGAGAGAGGAGGCCATCAGGGAACGGCACAGCCTGTCCAGTCTTCCTGACTGAATTTACGCCTAAGCTTCATTTAGCATTGCAATGTTTCCTTTCCACCATTATACTCCTGCGAAAGCTTTTTTATTCAACAGTTGTTTTTTAATCATAAATACAATTTTCAATTACTTCAATCCTGATAGGGAAGGTTTTTTGGCGAGCTCCCGCTGTCTTTCCCCCATTCAGTCGTTTTATTTACACTCCCAAAAACCCCGAGCGGCCAAAACACACCAACACACCACGGCCTCTTCTCGGACATACCTGAAGCAGCACACAAAGATCTCCTATGAGTCTTGACACAAGTGCTCAACTGTTTGAGTTTCAGTAGGCGCGTGGTGCTAAAGTGAACGTTTGTCCAAAATAGTGTTGAGTGTTTTTGAACAGGCTGCTTGTAACTAAGATTAGCCAGAAAATGACTTCCACTTTATGGCAAAGGCCTAATGTGGTGATTAGCTGTAGCTTGATTAGAAATACTTCATATTGTCAAATCAGTTAAGGGCGCCAGGAGTGTCAACACTGTGTGTTTCATAAGCTATGAGACAACACTTATGCGTGTAATCAAGGGCGGAGAAAGGTTGAGGAAATGTAATATTCCACAAGGGGTCATGTACACATTTTAATCAGCCAGCAACGACCCCTAATTAGGTTATTTTTGTAATTTGTTTTCATGTGTGCAAGAACAACTCTTAATTACAGGCTGGACAAAGCAACGTAATTTATTGTTAACATATTCAACAAACGCTGGTACACCTGATCAGGAAAGTAGTATTATTAATAAATACACTCAAAAGTTTACATAGACTCAAATACATACTATTAAGAAAAGAACCTCCCTCCCAATGCACACACACACACACACACACACACACACACACACAAACGCACACAAAACGTCTTTGGGTGAGGCCGAGAAATTAAACGGAGGATACTGAAAGTCCCAGAAAAGTGTTGACATTGGAGGAAAACCCCTGTGACTTCTCTGTAGAATTACAAAGTGAATATATCATCTATGTTCTCACTCGTGTATTTGGGGATTGTGAGATCATGATTCCATGAAGAAGATAATTGGGCCTGAATAGATAAATGCATTTGGTCATTTCTGTCCTTCATCATTCTGAATCAGCTTTTGATGGGGTTTTTTGTGGAAAAGTTTGAAAGATAAGAAGCAGTTGGGTTCGTATCCTCCAAATGGATGAAGTCCAGCGGTTTTATCATCCCGCATTGGAGCTCCCTGAAACAAAGCGGGATGTCAGACATCTAGGAAATACATTTTCACCGCATAACACAACCAATTGCCTAAATCTCCAGTAGTGAAACGCACTGACATGATGCTGCAGAATGCATTGCCTCATGCTTCTGCTAGTTGGTTGTGAGGGTTTTTACTATATTGTGTCTTTTTCAACATTTCATAACCTTTTCAAACATACTTTGGCATTTTTCAATATACTAAATACTAACACTAGCACTACTTTTATTTCTACTGCTATTAACACTAAAATGACTCCTAGTCCTAAAAGTGGTATTACAAATACCACTAATACTGGTAGTGGTGACACTGATTACTATAAAACAAAATTAGCAAAACCAAATCAACAGATTTGATCACTTTCAATTTCAACAGAGTTTGGTATTACAGTTGCAGTTGTTTATGTGTCACAAGCTGCCGTGTCGTGGTACTTCACCCAGTTAAAGAGCGTGTGTTGCGCTTTGTCATTGTTGTTATACATGTATAACCATAACTCAATCTCAATACACGTAAGATAAGTAGCTCCGACCGCTTTGCGCCTGGTGATGAGGTGTAAAAATAAACCATGCTGCCTGCTGAAGAGCAATGGCATTTGTACCGGCTTAACCCAAGCAAATCCTGTACCAGCGTACCGGTTGAAACAGTCTACCGCACAGCCCCAGCTACAACCAATAGAACTTGGAGCAGAACGCTGGGCCGCTGAACACAGAGAGCGAGACAAAGTCCTTCTCTCGGCCCGTAGAGACCAATGCAAATCTGCTGACATAAATTGTCAGAGAAAGCAGAAGGTACAAGTTTTGGAAACTGGCAGAGACATATAAATCATAGAGGGAAGCTGCAACACCCCTTGTTTCAATAAAGCGACAACTTGATCATGCCACATCAGGGACAAAGTTGTATATTTTATAGCAATTGCAAATTGGCCGATGATGTCATCAATACCTAAATAAACGATAGATAATTTCCATAGTTTAATACTACAATTACTGTAACTAAAACTGGTTTGTTGTTGCATTCAATTTAAAAAGAACCAATGCTGGTTGTTATGCTTTTATTTTTTCTTACTTACCATACCTTACCATATCATATAATTGAACGTTGTTTCTACTTGGATTTATTATGTATAACTTTAATTGGGATTTAATATCAAGAGAATATTACCTGTTTTTCATTATTGTATAGGATGTTTGAAGCACTTAAGTTTACGAGTAACGTGAACTTGGTTGCTTTAAGGCAATCGGTTTGCATGGTTTAATCAAGTAAATTACTTTTCTGTTCAAGTAGATAATACTGATATATTTCTAGTTGCAGAACATGTAACATTAGTTAGCCCAACTTAAATAACTGTGCTGTTTGTAATGCACACAAAGTATACTTCACTTGAAATAATTAAGTTGTTTGAAATGGTCATTTGAAGTAATGAAAACTGAGTATTTCTTAGTTACTTCAACTAAAGTGTAACTATACTACACTAAATAAGCTCGTTAGTACAACATATAATACATTATTAACTTTACTTGAATGTAAAAAGTTCCTTTACTTGCTTTTTTTAAGGCAATTGGGTTGCATGCTTTTTTTAAGGAAGGTTTACTAATTGGATTTTACAGTGTACTAATAGTAACAATCATACAAAAGAAATGTAGCAGTGGTCACCGTAGTAGCAAGAGTAGATCCTACATAAACAGTATATTTATACAATACCAGTCAAAGTTTTGGACAAATGTTCCCATTTATTTCATTACATTACAGGGTAAAAAAGCTGTGGGGTGTGCTGCAGGGTAAAAAGCTGTGGGTTAATAGCTGACGCTTTTAACCCACAGCTTTTTACTGAACATAATAACGTAGTTTCATTTCACAACATTAACCACATGTTTACAACTGTTTTCTCAAGAAAATATTACTTTTATAATCATCAGTTTGAGAAGAAGAAGAAAAAGGGGCTCCAACCAATAGAACACGGAGCAGAATGTAGAACATTCTATGACATCACAGAGAATTCTCCATATAGAATGTAGAATGTGGAAGGATAGATTATCAGAGCTCATTTTGGATCCCCACTCAGCGTGAACACATCAACTTTACATTGCAGAGGGATTCTCAAAGACTCAAAGATGGCCCGCCATCCGCCGAAAGGACTGAAAAGCTTGGTCGAGTGTATGGCCAGAGCTACAATCTCCGCACATCCTGCCGACATGCCAGACTTTTTAGTGGAGTATACGTCAGAGCTCAACCAAACAAGAGGCTCTAAAACTGAAAGCAATCCAGTGGAAATGTGCTTTCGATTCCAAGAGGCTTGTGGTAAGATACTGTCTAAATATATAAAACATGATGTTTGGGTAATCATATGTTTTGTTTATAGAATGTGAAAATTTCAGAAAGTGAGGAACATAAAGTGAAAATAAACCTTGGTTTAAAGGTCATTCTTAAAAATGTGATGCTATTCGTAATTGCTTCGATTGTGCTTGGTATCCAAGTACTGACATGTAGTAAGGGTCGTCGTGGTGCAGGGGTTAGAGAAGGTGTGCTGGGAAGCACAAGGTTAGTAGTTCGAGGCCCAGGCTGCCCCATGTTCCATGATGAAGTGTCCCTGAGTAAGACACCTAACCCCAAATTACTCTCCGGGCAAAAATGTGAAAAAGCCATTGTTTTAAAGTGTAATGTAAGTCGCTTTGGATAAAAGCGTCTGCTAAATGACCTGTAATGTTGTAGTTAGGGGCTTGGAGCTGGAAAATTGTTATTGCTAAATCTTGTGTACTAATTTTATTTTTCTAAAATGTTTTTCTCTTCCCAGATTTGGAATCTGCAATCAATGAACATGCACCATCAACTGGGGTTAAAGAAAAGAAGCCTGTACCTTTTACCCCTGCTGTTGCCAAGAAGACACCGGAAACACACACACAGAAAACAACACCACGAAAGTTATCACCTAAAGCTCCAGCAGATGTGCCCCCGAAATCCAGGAAGAATCTACCTATCGACACGAGGGGGAAGCCACAAAATGCCAGCAGCGTGTTACCACAAAAACCTAAAGAACGCAGTGAACCAACGCCAGCAAGAACAGAAAGACCAAAGGAAGAAAGAAAAATAATCCCCAAGACAAGACCACCATGGTTACCACCAGCTGCAAATCAAAAGCAAGGTAAAGGAACCATTGATGACGCCAAGAAGACACCAGAAAAGCGTCTACCGACAATTCCCCAAACGTCAGCACCTAAAGATCCAGCTGTCAATCCCCCGAAATCCAAGAAAAATCTACCAATCGGCACGAGGGGGAAGCCAGAAAATGCCAGCAGCGTGTCACCCCAAAAACCTAAAGAACGCAGTGAACCAACGCCAGCAAGAACAGAAAGACCAAAGGAAGAAAGAAAAATAATACCCAAGACAAGACTACCATGTTTGTTACCAGCCACAAGTCAAAAGCAAAGTAAAGGAACCATTCATGACGCCAAGAAGACACCAGAAAAACGTCTACCGACAATTCCCCAAAAGTCAGCACCTAAAGATCCAGCTGTCAATCCCCCTTCTAGACGCCCAACTACGCGTGTACAAGCAGCACCACAAACAAGTGTTTTACCACCGATTCCACCAATTCCACAGAAGAAAGGCACAGGTAGCCAACAGCAGACAACTATTCCAAAGAAATCTGTGCCAAAGTGGGATGACTCAGTAACATTGCCCGTTATTAAAGGATTGAGGAAACCAGCTATTCCAAGAGACAGCAGAAACGACCACCAATGCCCTCAATTGGTTCACCAACACCCTCAGTTGGTGCAAATAATCCACAGGGCAAGAATCACACACACAGTGTTTCGTTACTCACCTTAAGGATAAGGTAGGTGTCACAAAATAGTAGTCGCATTCTCTGGGTTTTGTGTGGCTTCTCGACCATTTCATATTTGTTTGAATGCTATGCTATTTGTTTGAATTTGTTTGAGCTAAAGGAGAGAGCATTATCAAAATCTGGTTCAAAAAATATTTGTAGTTGGTCCTCATCACACAATATTCACTCTTCATGCTTCATTTTGGGAGACAATGATAGGGTGACGTTCCCGTGGCAACTCAGACACAGGCTGAAGTCTCTCTGTCTTTTTCTCACACAGGTGAACAGCGTTGGACGACCAGTGGAGCCACCTGACGCAGCCGTGCAGTAGACGAACCGACACCTGAAAGGACGTCGCTCCCTCTCTCTTTCTTACTCCCTCCCCACATCGACCCGCGTTGTAATTCAGTGAGTGTGTCCAAACCTTTGACTGCATATTTATGCATATATCAAGATATATGGCTAGGACGTTATTTCATTATGTTAACCCAAACCATAATGTTTTCCTGAACCCAATCAGGTAGTTCTGTTGTCTGAACATAATAACGTAGTTTCATTTCACAACATTAACCACATGTTTACAACTGTTTTCTCAAGAAAATATTACTTTTATAATCATCAGTTTGAGAAGAAGAAGAAAAAAGGGCTCCAACCAATAGAACCCAGTCCATAATCCGGAGTCCACAATCCAGTGGAAATGTGCTTTCAATACCAAGAGACACGTGGTAAGATATTGTTTAAATATATAAAAGATGATGTTTAGGTAATCATTTGTTTTGTTACAAAATTTCAGAAACTGAGGAAGATAAAAATGAAAATAAACCTTGGTTGAAAGGGCATTCTTAAAAATATGATGCTATTCTTAATTGCTCCGATGGTGCTGGTGTGGCACCCTGGACATTTTTAAGGACTTCCATTGTTTCTTTGAATTGTATTGTTTAGTGCCATTCCCCTGTCATTGTGTTTGTTTTGATTATTGTGTGAAGAAATCCTTCGTGTGACTTTTTGAGCCTGCCTCCTTCCCCCTGCAGTGGCAGTGGGGCAGCACTCGTTTCCGCCAGCAGGTGGCGGTAGCGGGTTTAGTAGACCTGACGGGCGCTGTAACGCTTAGAGCAAGTGACTCCGCGTCGGCAAGTACAGACAGTCGTTCTGATTCTGATTGTTGCTGACTGTTGTTATTGCAGAATAAAACACACCTGAACGGAGCCTGTTGCAGTGTGTGTGTGTGTGTGTGTGTGTGTAACACTCGGTATCTAAGTACTAACATGTAGTTAAGGCCTTGTAGCTGGAAAATTGTTATTGCTAAATCTTGTGTACTAATTTTATTTTTCTGAAATGTTTTTTCTCTTCCCAGATTTGGAATCTGCAATCAGTGAACATGCACCATCAACTGGGGTTAAAGAAAAGAAGCCTGTACCTTTTACCCCCTGCTGTTGCCGACAAGACACCGGAAACACACACACAGAAAACATCCCGAAAGTTATCACCTAAAGCTCCAGCAGATGTGCCCCCGAAATCCAGGAAGAATCTACCAATCGGCATGAGGGGGAAGCCAAAAAATGCCAGCAGCGTGTCACCACAAAAACCTAAAGAACGCAGTGAACCAACGCCAGCAAGAACAGAAAGACCAAAGGAAGAAAGAAAAATAATACCCAAGACAAGACTACCATGTTTGTTACCAGCCACAAGTCAAAAGCAAAGTAAAGGAACCATTCATGACGCCAAGAAGACACCAGAAAAACGTCTACCGACAATTCCCCAAAAGTCAGCACCTAAAGATCCAGCTGTCAATCCCCCTTCTAGACGCCCAACTACGCGTGTACAAGCAACACCACAAACGAGTGTTTTACCACCGATTCCACCAATTCCACAGAAGAAAGGCACAGGTAGCCAACAGCAGACAACTATTCCAAAGAAATCTGTGCCAAAGTGGGATGACTCAGTAACATTGCCCGTTATTAAAGGATTGAGGAAACCAGCTATTCCAAGAGACAGCAGAAACGACCACACGTGTTGCTTTCCTCACCTTAAGGATAAGGTAGGTGTCACAAAATAGTCACATTCTTTGGGTTTTGTGTGGCTTCTCAAACGATTTCATATTTGTTTGAATGCTGTTTAAGCATTCCAGTAAATGTTAAACCGTTGTAATGTTCTTCTAAGCTGTAGTTTTCTCTTCTTTCTATTTCCGTTTTGAGCTGCTTCACCCTCTCATCCCTCCCCCCCCACTCACACAGGTGAACAGCGTTGGACAATCAGTGGAGCCCCCTCCATATAATGTTGTTTGTTTGTTTGTTAGATAAATAAATAAAAAATTTAAAAAATACAAAAATCTTTCTGTCCCTTCCCCTCTCTCTCTCTCTCTCTCTCTCGAAGGACAAACATTCAGTCTCCAATTCATAATTAAAGAAAAACCCTCTGATTATCTGTGCCTCAACCATGAAGGCCAGAATTAAGCTGTTTTAAAAAAATCTGTATTGCTCTTTCAAAAACTAGAGCCTCTTACTATAAGGACTAGTACCTCCAGTGGTAGTATTACCACAATTGATACTGCTACATGACGTATTTTGACATAGGATATTGATTCTTTTCAACAACAAAAAAAAGTGAAATGCAATTAGAAGCTGTGGGTGAATAGGACTTATAGGAAAACTCATGAAAAGTCATCCTATTGTACGTTAAAAATTGTTAAATATGTTTACAAATGTAATAAAAGAAGCAACAATGTTACGTTATAGGGCAATACTGCTGGAAACAAATCATAAAAATGAAGTGTCGAATGCCAAAAAAAGTCAAATGAAAATTGCACATTTCACTGTGTTGCATCCGCCCGCAGAGAGGCCGCCAGCTGATGCGGGTTGTGTGTGTGAAAAATTAACTTGGCTAACCCCGACTGAGGGGAACAGGCAATAAAAAAAACACATACACACTCCACCTGACAATTTGGGGAAAGCAGCTCTGTGCCTCTCTTGCTGCTCATTAAGAAAATACCAACCTGACTGAGGATAGCAGCCTTTTTGTGCAGGACAATGACCAATAATAATCCACTGTGTACGACGCTAACAATTAAATTTCTAGGGTAATAAAACAACAGCTGTGCATGAAGGAGCATCCGCTATCTCGTTTATCAATAGAACATTCAGCTTGTTGTCTCTATCGCTCCCTTCCTGTCCTCCACTGCTTGGCGTCTCTTCCTCCCTCACTTCCTGATGTAGAAGTTGGAAACCTGAATCATGTTACCCTGCTTGTTTCTGTCGGGGCAGAGAAACCAGTCCATCAGTGCAACAGCTCGGCGTTTCACAAGAGTGACAATTATGAGCTCACAGCATCATCTGAGGCCAAGAGATCTGGCTTCGCTTGTCTGTGTGTATAACCAACACTTACAGACCAGTGTGTGTCTGCGTTTTATGCGTCTGTTTGTCCACCTGTTTTACAGAAAATAAAAAGCTTTACCCCACAGGTATAGTCAACAGTTTCTTAAAGTAGACTTGACATCTCTTTACATTGCGAGCTGATTTTTCAAAGTCTGTAGCTTTGGCTTTAGGCCAGTGTGGCCTAACAAGAGCAATACCTGTTGGATGAACTGAAATGTGAGCTTCATAGTCTTGGGGTAGTTAAGATGGAGTGCATACATGAGTCCAAACAGAATGCACATTGCTTTTGGCAGATCTTGAATGTTGTCCATCACGACTTCTCCCTCAATGATGATTTCCAACGAGGCTGGACTGAGATGCTGGGAAGATGTGAGCACAGCACCTTCACGCTCAATAAGAAGTATCCCAATGTCTGGGTCACGAAAAGAATCGTCATCGTCAGATTCCTAAATAAATAAAAACAGAAGAGCCCACTCATTACATTATATTTGTCATTTGAAAAAAAACTTTCATTAAAAATGATAAGAAAGCAAGAGCTTACTTACAAAGCCTGCTTTGAAGAAGTCTGTGGGGTTGTCCCCAAGGATGATAGGAAGCCCTCTGAGCACCTGTGTCCGGATCGCAGTTGGCTCTGTAGTCTTTTGGGAATTAAACACAGTACCACAAGTTAGATAGCTAAAATCAAAAATAAATAATGATCTCTAAGAAAGCTTAAACAGGTCGAGCAATGTTTGGATAGAATTATGCAACTAATAGAGTAGCATTGTGATATGATGTTTATACCTAACCTAAGAAAAACCATGCCAAGTACATAATGTGTGTGGACTTACATTGGTCTGTTGTAAAATATGTGTCAACAACTGTCCAACATTCCCTCTCTTGGATCCAAATAACTCGAGGAGACGAGGACTGTGCCGGTCGATGCTCTCATAGAATTCCGTCTTGAGGTTCTTGCCCACAATCCTGCTGAACTCCATGAAGACCTGAAAAATACAGAGAACAATAAAAATCTGAATTTAGATCAACTGAACTATACAAGGCAGCTAAGCCATCTGCGAAGTAGTGCTGTCCTGAAAAACATCCATGAATGTCCTTTTTATACAATTTGAAATGTTGATGTTTAAATTAAAAACATCATGCCCCAAATTAAAAATACCAATGTTTCCTTTAAAGAGGACAAGGGAAATATACATCTAGACACATTATATAATAGAAAGATAATTATTTGTTATGTTCTCTTTCTTAAACATACTTGATCTTCAGTGAAAAGGGCAGGCCAGCGTCTCACCATCGTGCTTATGGCAGGTTCCGACTCCACTACCTCTTTTCTTCTCAGAGCAAACGTCTGATCCATCTTCTGTTTCACAAGAGGTCCGTTTGGTGTTCTTTTCTGCATTTCATCAACCAAGTCTTTACAGGCCTCCAGGGCTGCCTGATCAAATGCACACACATTGTTGGTGTAAGCAGGGAAATGGGACAGTTCTACCATAGTTTCCGTGTTTTAACCGATGTTTTAAAAGGTAACCCCTTTTCACACAGATAAACTCACCGTACTTACACTTCCACAGCATCCTCACACCACAAGAATCTGTAAAACAAGAAAACGTTTAGGTCAACAACTCAGCACTCAGTTAAATACAATAAGGTAATAAAACCGAAACAACACCTGTGTTACAGAGAAAACCGGCATGTAAACAAGCGTGTGTGAGGCCGGTTACACACTGCCGCGGTGGCATTTCTGTTGCATGTCAGCCGCGTGGATTTTTCTGTCTTTTCACACCAGAAAAGTGTCTGACGTGGCGCTGCTGCTGCTAGCCTTGTCTGGACACATGCATGGTTCCCATTGATTTACTGCACTCAAGCAGTATACTTCATGTTACACATAAATATATACTGATTTTATTACAGCAAAGACAAAGACAAGTATTGACGGTAAATACACTACAGTATATTGCATTCTGTACATCGAAAATCGATCATCTTTTTGTTTTTTAAATTACATTTGTATATCTGCATTTATGTCATAAACTCGAGACTTCGAACATCAACATGCCATTTATTAAATGAAATATACTAATATATCTTTTCATATAAAATGTAGCCTGGAAACGCTTCCAATGCTTGCGTGTGGCGTGAAATAGCCGTCGGTCCTGTTTCTAGCAGGCAGTGTGTAAGCTCTAACCGTTTAACTATAAACAGACACGCTACGCAGCCAGTGTGTAGAGAGTGAGGGGGGAAAAGAGAGCGGCCAGTGAATCAATGGCTGCAAGTAGCTCGGGTGTAGCTAAACACCTCCACAGCAGATGTAATTTGCCCCGACAGCGGTTGAATCGTTTTTCTATTGCGTAAAATGGCGGTTGAATAAGTGATACAGTCGAACAAACTAACGGTATGTGAGCCGTCCTCACACTGTTAACACTAAGTTAACTTTAAGTTCAGCTAACACTTTTTGAGTAGCTAGCTAGCGAGTTTTAGCAATAAGCATGTATTTACACCATGCACAGGTTCAAACAACAACATTAGACGGAAATAAAAGCTGCGTCAAATTATCTGCAAGCTTTTGGGTATTAAACATTCCCACAAAGATAACTAGGCTACAATAGTTATTTTACATACTAACCATTCCACTTCGAGGTGGTAAGGTTGCTTTCTTGGATTCCGTCTGCTGCCGATGCCTGTGCTCGTCCCGCCAGGTGAAGAGCCCCTTGGACGCACGTTAGACGTTGGTCTGGTCACGTGACCAGGCAGCTTTTTGAATTAGCCCCTCCCCTTTCTTCCAAAAGTAAACATACCGAGTTATCTGTGCTAAAAATGATTAGTGCAATGAATTTGTCAGCTAATTAGTACAAACAACTAATGTTGTTTAGTAATGATAGCAGGTTTTTACTAAACATAAAAGAATAAGTAATGATCACTCGTAAGCTTAATTAGAAACAAAATCCGGGTTTACAGTGCAAACAATATTGTTTGGAATTCATTGTTGATTTGTGGGCATGACGTGAGCAAACCTTTTGAAATGTACTTTTACAATAACACTAAACTTTAATGATTTACATGGGGGTGACATCATTGCAATATGCAGATGCAGCTAAAACAAAAGAAGGTATGAAAGAGTAAGCAAAATGGGGGTATCAGCATAGTAGCAACTGATAATCAATAGGTATATATATATATATATATATATATATATATAGGTTTGATGTGATTGGTTATTTGAGGTGTGGTCCATTTGTAAGGACAGCACCTGTTTATGGAGAGTCTTTAGCAGACCAGGAGTCATCGCGCTGTCCGTCTTATGTGTGACATTCAGCTCCAGCCGATCCTTCACAGGCAGACGCTCTCCTTTAGACAGCGCAGTAAAGTATCTGCGAGCGGACACACACACACGCGCACATTTGTACTATTGAAAACACGGTGCTTGGCTTTATGCTTTTCAAGGCAATGAGTGATGCAGTCAAATGATGCATGGATTGACATTAGAATAAATTGTCATGAGGGTTAATCAGTTGAAAAACCATCATGTGTTGCAGTTTAGAAGGAAGTTTACTGATCTTACAATTGTGCCGAAGGGCTCACTGGATAATTTTATCTCAAAGTTTAAATTATTCAAAAACTAGCTCTCGCAATGAGTTTAGAGGCAGCATGACTTTCATCGTCTTTGAAAAGCTACAGAGCCTGGTGTTATTTTAATGGCGTATAAACTTCTTGCAACCCTGGAGAATGTGATTTGTTTTTGGTTCACCAGATGGCTCGTGTACTGTCCTTTTGCTGTAAACACTGAAGCTACATTGGCAAATAAAAGAACAGCTGAAATTACTTTCCTTAGGGGTAGAAAATGTGCCCCCCCCCACTTAAAGCTCGGTCAATGCAAAAATGGCTACAACAGAGGCTACTTCCTCTGCATGCAGGAAGTCATGGTGTTGCTTGAGAGATCAAGACCGAACGTATTGAACGTAATCACATGTATCCCTTCCTGTATCCAAACGACCACTGACAAGAGATTGAATCTTACGCCGCAGACCACAGCAGCAGGTCCTCGGGCTGCGTACGGACGGCTGCCTTGGTGAAGTTTTTCAGGATGTCTGGCAGCTCTTGGGCGATGTCGATTTGCTGGGCACAGAACATTGTGTCTGGAAGAGGCATGCAACATTGTCCAATTAGCAGATAGGAGCTTCATCCGAGAGGACATCCATGAGACATAATCTGAAATAAAGTGGCAGCTCGCAACCAGAATATTAACTTAAGGATGGAATAGTGGTTCTTCTCGGGGATCTAAAGTTGCTGTTTCAATACGTTTGAGAGGAATACGAAGTAAAGACCATGGGAGCTACATTAAAAAAAAAGATAACATCTCCATAGATTCATTTCCTCATCGTGAGCAATAAGATAAAATCCGAATTGAAAACTAGGTTTTAAAATGAACCAGACATCAATTTAAGAGCGTTTAGGTGAATGAGATGTAAGACTGCAAGGTAACGGTAGTAAAAAGCCGAACATGTTATCAACGTCATTTCCCGGAAGTTATACGTTACAGTAACGTTAAGCTAACAGCAGCTAAAACCGACGTGGTTAACGGTAAGTTTACCGCAAAAACACGAGCCTTAAATTAATGTTAGCATTAGCTCCCGTAGCGCCGGTTAGGACACGCAGTAGAAACGGGTAACTGAAGTTAAATACAGAATTTATACGTTGACCATGTATTCACACTTCTTCTTTTACGGTCCTGATGTCCAACATTGTCATAAAACCTCATTTTGAATAAACGTCCACACATCAACAAATTTACCGTTCCCTGGATTGCTGAATAATGACCTTTAGAAAAAGGAGATAAACTACAACGCGAGAGGCAGCCTGTGTATCGCTTGCAGCCCCGTTGCATAGCAACGGTCTTCTTCTCTGGTTTTTGAGGGGTAGATGTCATGCCACGTGAAGTGCGACATTGTCCCCCTCCTGTTGGGAGACGTCAACTGATTAACCCTAACATCGGCTTGCCTTTGTGAATTCTAATCCGACCGATTGTGTAAACTTACTGGAATGAACGATGCAACATGAGGCCGTGAGTAAAAAAAAAAAAAAAGCCTTTTCATTAATTTACTTGTTTGGGAAATGTCAAGCCAAAAGGTAAGGGATATATGCCGGAAATGGAAATGTTTTTGATATTAAAAGTACCATAAAAGTGGAAAACACTGACATTCGGACAAGAACTTGACAGACACCATTCTGTGTAAACACACACATTTATTGAAGTGTTGCCGTAAACAGGCAAAACATCCTAATGAAGATTTTATTAATAAACAGCTTCTTGAAAATACAAGTTTACAGACAGTGATTCGGAAATAATTGTACATCTACCAGTATTTGGTAACTGAACACACAAAAAAAAAGAAAAATATCCCCACCATCCTTGACGTTCAAAAGGTGTCAGCAATTATGAAAGACGACAGGAGACAAATTCATACTTGTGCAATGAGCACACATGCACTGCCAGGTCACATACGACATGTGCAGACCTCTTCTAGCACACTAATAGGGTTGAGCAGCTAGAATCTTCTGGTAAAACCCTTTCCAGGTTCAACCACCTTTTTATGTAATGGGAGCCATGTAATACAAACAGCACAGCGTTTCCTCTCCCATGTTTTTACATTATGGCCAACTGAATGGGTCTAAAACGCCACCACGAAACAATGATGGAGGGATGGACTTGAGCAAAACAACACAGGTCACGTGGACTTGATTGTGGACTGTCCCAAGGTGCTGCTTTTACCCCTCCCGTTTGTTATCTCTTACTCCACTTAATACAAAAATAAAACTGTGCTTCCCCCAAACCCCTCTAGACGCTCTCCTGTGCCTAAAAAAAGCACCTAGGATCACATAATACTCCCGATGGACACCTTACGCAGCGACTACACTGCTCCAAACCCACTAAACCTCTTTCCTTAAATGGAATCCTACCCTTCCCTGGACGAGGCTCGGGCCAATTTATCATTTTAGCAGAGTTCAAGTGCAGCTAAGCGATCTGCGGTTTCTTCAACCCAATGAAACCAAATGCACTCTGGACCGCAGAGCAAAAAAACATATCCGGCTCGACAAAAGCACTTCATCGCAGAGAGCTGAACTATCTGTCATTGAGCCAGCTGTGTTCACGGCTGGGATTCCCCAAAAGCGTCGCAGCGCTAAACATTATAGATTTAACGCAAACGGGGAAAAATAACATTTAAAATGATGCAAACGGCATTTCAATACACTCCACTGTCGATCACATTCAGCCAGAGGTTGTAGATTGACGAGAGAGAAGCAATACAATTGAACGATCTAATCTAGTAGGACGTGAACTTGGACAATAAAGTACGTACGACTGACCGATAGCGCTTGTTATTGTTCCGAGCTGCTGCTGCTACCGAAACCTAGAAAAAAGGGAGGAAAACACAAGAAATTTTAGAAGTAACTAATGATTGAAATATAGGCAGTCCTTATAATGCTGTTTGATATTTAATATCTTTAATCTCCCAAAAAAACTAAGATAAATTCGATCGGCCAAAAAGTTGATTGATGATGTCTTCTATTTCTCTACATCTCTCTATGCTATTTGATCAAATATGTTTTTTTTAAGGTGGGCGGATTTTCCACAAGTGATCAAAACCGAACTCCAACTTTAAATCTGCACAGGATACTTGAACATTGAGGTACTGTCGGACAGGCTCACTGGGCAGAATGTGTTTGAAATATGTCGTTGGTCATCAGCACAAAAAGGGTGTTTATATAATTAGCATTGAAATGTTTCCTTTCCACCATTATACTTCTGGGAAAGCTTTTTTATTCAACAGTTGTTTTTTAATCATAAATACAATTTTCAAACATCTTCTTTCTTAAGATGGCTCATTAGGTGCATTTCCAAATGCACCTAATGAGCCAATTACTTCAATCCTGATAGGGAAGGTTTTTTGGCGAGCTCCCGCTGTCTTTCCCCCATTCAGTCGTTTTATTTACACTCCCAAAAACCCCGAGCGGCCAAAACACACCAACACACCACGGCCTCTTCTCGGACATACCTGAAGCAGCAGCACCACACAAAGATCTCCTATGAGTCTTGACACAAGTGCTCAACTGTTTGAGTTTCAGTAGGCGCGTGGTGCTAAAGTGAACGTTTGTCCAAAATAGTGTTGAGTGTTTTTGAACAGGCTGCTTGTAACTAAGATTAGCCAGAAAATGACTTCCACTTTATGGCAAAGGCCCAATGTGGTGATTAGCAGTAGCTTGATTAGAAATACTTCATATTGTCAAATCAGTTAAGGGCGCCAGGAGTGTCAACACTGTGTGTTTCATAAGCTATGAGACAACACTTATGCGTGTAATCAAGGGCGGAGAAAGGTTGAGGAAATGTAATATTCCACAAGGGGTCATGTACACATTTTAATCAGCCAGCAACGACCCCTAATTAGGTTATTTTTGTATTTTGTAATAAAAGAAGATAATTGGGCCTGAATAGATAAATGCATTTGGTCATTTCTGTCCTTCATCATTCTGAATCAGCTCTTGATGGGGTTTTTTGTGGAAAAGTTTGAAAGATAAGAAGCAGTTGGGTTCGTATCCTCCAAATGGATGAAGTCCAGCGGTTTTATCATCCCGCATTGGAGCTCCCTGAAACAAAGCGGGATGTCAGACATCTAGGAAATACATTTTCACCGCATAACACAACCAATTGCCTAAATCTCCAGTAGTGAAACGCACTGACATGATGCTGCAGAATGCATTGCCTCATGCTTCTGCTAGTTGGTTGTGAGGGTTTTTACTATATTGTGTCTTTTTCAACATTTCATAACCTTTTCAAACATACTTTGGCATTTTTCAATATACTAAATACTAACACTAGCACTACTTTTATTTCTACTGCTATTAACACTAAAATGACTCCTAGTCCTAAAAGTGGTATTACAAATACCACTAATACTGGTAGTGGTGACACTGATTACTATAAAACAAAATTAGCAAAACCAAATCAACAGATTTGATCACTTTCAATTTCAACAGAGTTTGGTATTACAGTTGCAGTTGTTTATGTGTCACAAGCTGCCGTGTCGTGGTACTTCACCCAGTTAAAGAGCGTGTGTTGCGCTTTTTCATTGTTGTTGTACATGTATAACCATAACTCAATCTCAATACACGTAAGATAAGTAGCTCCGACCGCTTTGCGCCTGGTGATGAGGTGTAAAAATAAACCATGCTGCCTGCTGAAGAGCAATGGCATTTGTACCGGCTTAACCCAAGCAAATCCTGTACCAGCGTACCGGTTGAAACAGTCTACCGCACAGCCCCAGCTACAACCAATAGAACTTGGAGCAGAACGCTGGGCCGCTGAACACAGAGAGCGAGACAAAGTCCTTCTCTCGGCCCGTAGAGACCAATGCAAAGCTGCTGACATAAATTGTCAGAGAAAGCAGAAGGTACAAGTTTTGGAAACTGGCAGAGACATATAAATCATAGAGGGAAGCTGCAACACCCCTTGTTTCAATAAAGCGACAACTTGATCATGCCACATCAGGGACAAAGTTGTATATTTTATAGCAATTGCAAATTGGCCGATGATGTCATCAATACCTAAATAAACGATAGATAATTTCCATAGTTTAATACTACAATTACTGTAACTAAAACTGGTTTGTTGTTGCATTCAATTTAAAAAGAACCAATGCTGGTTGTTATGCTTTTATTTTTTCTTACTTCCATATCATATAATTGAACGTTGTTTCTACTTGGATTTATTATGTATAACTTTAATTGGGATTTAATATCAAGAGAATATTACCTGTTTTTCATTATTGTATAGGATGTTTGAAGCACTTAAGTTTACGAGTAACGTGAACTTGGTTGCTTTAAGGCAATCGGTTTGCATGGTTTAATCAAGTAAATTACTTTTCTGTTCAAGTAGATAATACTGATATATTTCTAGTTGCAGAACATGTAACATTAGTTAGCCCAACTTAAATAACTGTGCTGTTTGTAATGCACACAAAGTATACTTCACTTGAAATAATTAAGTTGTTTGAAATGGTCATTTGAAGTAATGAAAACTGAGTATTTCTTAGTTACTTCAACTAAAGTGTAACTATACTACACTAAATAAGCTTGTTAGTACAACATATAATACATTATTAACTTTACTTGAATGTAAAAAGTTCCTTTACTTGCTTTTTTTAAGGCAATTGGGTTGCATGCTTTTTTTAAGTAAGGTTTACTAATTGGATTTTACAGTGTACTAATAGTAACAATCATACAAAAGAAATGTAGCAGTGGTCACCGTAGTAGCAAGAGTAGATCCTACATAAACAGTATATTTCTACAATACCAGTCAAAGTTTTGGACAATTAAGCTGACGCTTTTAACCCACAGCTTTTTACTGAACATAATAACGTAGTTTCATTTCACAACATTAACCACATGTTTACAACTGTTTTCTCAAGAAAATATTACTTTTATAATCATCAGTTTGAGAAGAAGAAGAAAAAGGGGCTCCAACCAATAGAACACGGAGCAGAATGTAGAACATTCTATGACATCACAGAGAATTCTCCATACAGAATGTAGAATGTGGAAGGATAGATTATCAGAGCTCATTTTGGATCCCCACTCAGCGTGAACACATCAACTTTACATTGCAGAGGGATTCTCAAAGACTCAAAGATGGCCCGCCAGCCGCCGAAAGGACTGAAAAGCTTGGTTGAGTGTATGGCCAGAGCTACAATCTCCGCACATCCTGCCGACATGCCAGACTTTTTAGTGGAGTATACGTCAGAGCTCAACCAAACAAGAGGCTCTAAAACTGAAAGCAATCCAGTGGAAATGTGCTTTCGATTCCAAGAGGCTCACGGTAAGATACTGTCTAAATATATAAAACATGATGTTTGGGTAATCATATGTTTTGTTTATAGAATGTGAAAATTTCAGAAAGTGAGGAACATAAAGTGAAAATAAACCTTGGTTTAAAGGTCATTCTTAAAAATGTGATGCTATTCGTAATTGCTCCGATTGTGCTTGGTATCCAAGTACTGACATGTAGTAAGGGTCGTCGTGGTGCAGGGGTTAGAGAAGGTGTGCTGGGAAGCACAAAGTTAGTAGTTCGAGGCCAGGCTGCCCCATGTTCCGTGATGAAGTGTCCCTGAGCAAGACACCTAACCCCAAATTACTCCCCGGGCAAAAATGTGAAAAAGCCATTGTTTTAAAGTGTAATGTAAGTCGCTTTGGATAAAAGCGTCTGCTAAATGACCTGTAATGTTGTAGTTAGGGGCTTGGAGCTGGAAAATTGTTATTGCTAAATCTTGTGTACTAATTTTATTTTTCTAAAATGTTTTTCTCTTCCCAGATTTGGAATCTGCAATCAATGAACATGCACCATCAACTGGGGTTAAAGAAAAGAAGCCTGTACCTCTTACCCCTGCTGTTGCCGACAAGACACCGGAAACACACACACAGAAAACAACACCACGAAAGTTATCACCTAAAGCTCCAGCAGATGTGCCCCTGAAATCCAGGAAGAATCTACCAATCGGCACGAGGGGGAAGCCACAAAATGCCAGCAGCGTGTCACCACAAAAACCTAAAGAACGCAATGAACCAACGCCAGCAAGAACAGAAAGACCAAAGGAAGAAAGAAAAATAATCCCCAAGACAAGACCACCATGGTTACCACCAGCTGCAAATCAAAAGCAAGGTAAAGGAACCATTCATGACGCCAAGAAGACACCAGAAAAGCGTCTACCGACAATTCCCCAAACGTCAGCACCTAAAGATCCAGCTGTCAATCCCCCGAAATCCAAGAAAAATCTACCAATCGGCACGAGGGGGAAGCCAGAAAATGCCAGCAGCGTGTCACCTCAAAAACCTAAAGAACGCAGTGAACCAACGCCAGCAAGAACAGAAAGACCAAAGGAAGAAAGAAAAATAATACCCAAGACAAGACTACCATGTTTGTTACCAGCCACAAGTCAAAAGCAAAGTAAAGGAACCATTCATGACGCCAAGAAGACACCAGAAAAACGTCTACCGACAATTCCCCAAAAGTCAGCACCTAAAGATCCAGCTGTCAATCCCCCTCCTAGACGCCCAACTACGCGTGTACAAGCAGCACCACAAACAAGTGTTTTACCACCGATTCCACCAATTCCACAGAAGAAAGGCACAGGTAGCCAACAGCAGACAACTATTCCAAAGAAATCTGTGCCAAAGTGGGATGACTCAGTAACATTGCCCGTTATTAAAGGATTGAGGAAACCAGCTATTCCAAGAGACAGCAGAAACGACCACCAATGCCCTCAATTGGTTCACCAACACCCTCAGTTGGTGCAAATAATCCACAGGGCAAGAATCACACACACAGTGTTTCGTTACTCACCTTAAGGATAAGGTAGGTGTCACAAAATAGTAGTCGCATTCTCTGGGTTTTGTGTGGCTTCTCGACCATTTCATATTTGTTTGAATGCTATGCTATTTGTTTGAATTTGTTTGAGCTAAAGGAGAGAGCATTATCAAAATCTGGTTCAAAAAATATTTGTAGTTGGTCCTCATCACACAATATTCACTCTTCATGCTTCATTTTGGGAGACAATGATAGGGTGACGTTCCCGTGGCAACTCAGACACAGGCTGAAGTCTCTCTGTCTTTTTCTCACACAGGTGAACAGCGTTGGACGACCAGTGGACTCAGTAACATTGCCCGTTATTAAAGGATTGAGGAAACCAGCTATTCCAAGAGACAGCAGAAACGACCACACGTGTTGCTTTCCTCACCTTAAGGATAAGGTAGGTGTCACAAAATAGTCACATTCTTTGGGTTTTGTGTGGCTTCTCAAACGATTTCATATTTGTTTGAATGCTGTTTAAGCATTCCAGTAAATGTTAAACCGTTGTATTGTTCTTCTAAGCTGTAGTTTTCTCTTCTTTCTATTTCCGTTTTGAGCTGCTTCACCCTCTCATCCCTCCCCCCCCACTCCCCTTCACACAGGTGAACAGCTTTGGACGATCAGTGGAGCCCCCTCCATATAATGTTGTTTGTTTGTTTGTTAGATAAATAAATAAAAAATTTAAAAAATACAAAAATCTTTCTGTCCCTTCCCCTCTCTCTCTCTCTCTCTCTCTCGAAGGACAAACATTCAGTCTCCAATTCATAATTAAAGAAAAACCCTCTGATTATCTGTGCCTCAACCATGAAGGCCAGAATTAAGCTGTTTTAAAAAAATCTGTATTGCTCTTTCAAAAACTAGAGCCTCTTACTATAATGACTAGTACCTCCAGTGGTAGTATTACCACAATTGATACTGCTACATGACGTATTTTGACATAGGATATTGATTCTTTTCAACAACAAAAAAAAGTGAAATGCAATTAGAAGCTGTGGGTGAATAGGACTTATAGGAAAACTCATGAAAAGTCATCCTATTGTACGTTAAAAATTGTTAAATATGTTTACAAATGTAATAAAAGAAGCAACAATGTTACGTTATAGGGCAATACTGCTGGAAACAAATCATAAAAATGAAGTGTCGAATGCCAAAAAAAGTCAAATGAAAATTGCACATTTCACTGTGTTGCATCCGCCCGCAGAGAGGCCGCCAGCTGATGCGGGTTGTGTGTGTGAAAAATTAACTTGGCTAACCCCGACTGAGGGGAACAGGCAATAAAAAAAACACACACACACTCCACCTGACAATTTGGGGAAAGCAGCTCTGTGCCTCTCTTGCTGCTCATTAAGAAAATACCAACCTGACTGAGGATAGCAGCCTTTTTGTGCAGGACAATGACCAATAATAATCCACTGTGTACGACGCTAACAATTAAATTTCTAGGGTAATAAAACAACAGCTGTGCATGAAGGAGCATCCGCTATCTCGTTTATTAATAGAACATTCAGCTTGTTGTCTCTATCGCTCCCTTCCTGTCCTCCACTGCTTGGCGTCTCTTCCTCCCTCACTTCCTGATGTAGAAGTTGGAAACCTGAATCATGTTACCCTGCTTGTTTCTGTCGGGGCAGAGAAACCAGTCCATCAGTGCAACAGCTCGGCGTTTCACAAGAGTGACAATTATGAGCTCACAGCATCATCTGAGGCCAAGAGATCTGGCTTCGCTTGTCTGTGTGTATAACCAACACTTACAGACCAGTGTGTGTCTGCGTTTTATGCGTCTGTTTGTCCACCTGTTTTACAGAAAATAAAAAGCTTTACCCCACAGGTATAGTCAACAGTTTCTTAAAGTAGACTTGACATCTCTTTACATTGCGAGCTGATTTTTCAAAGTCTGTAGCTTTGGCTTTAGGCCAGTGTGGCCTAACAAGAGCAATACCTGTTGGATGAACTGAAATGTGAGCTTCATAGTCTTGGGGTAGTTAAGATGGAGTGCATACATGAGTCCAAACAGAATGCACATTGCTTTTGGCAGATCTTGAATGTTGTCCATCACGACTTCTCCCTCAATGATGATTTCCAACGAGGCTGGACTGAGATGCTGGGAAGATGTGAGCACAGCACCTTCACGCTCAATAAGAAGTATCCCAATGTCTGGGTCACGAAAAGAATCGTCATCGTCAGATTCCTAAATAAATAAAAACAGAAGAGCCCACTCATTACATTATATTTGTCATTTGAAAAAAAACTTTCATTAAAAATGATAAGAAAGCAAGAGCTTACTTACAAAGCCTGCTTTGAAGAAGTCTGTGGGGTTGTCCCCAAGGATGATAGGAAGCCCTCTGAGCACCTGTGTCCGGATCGCAGTTGGCTCTGTAGTCTTTTGGGAATTAAACACAGTACCACAAGTTAGATAGCTAAAATCAAAAATAAATAATGATCTCTAAGAAAGCTTAAACAGGTCGAGCAATGTTTGGATAGAATTATGCAACTAATAGAGTAGCATTGTGATATGATGTTTATACCTAACCTAAGAAAAACCATGCCAAGTACATAATGTGTGTGGACTTACATTGGTCTGTTGTAAAATATGTGTCAACAACTGTCCAACATTCCCTCTCTTGGATCCAAATAACTCGAGGAGACGAGGACTGTGCCGGTCGATGCTCTCATAGAATTCCGTCTTGAGGTTCTTGCCCACAATCCTGCTGAACTCCATGAAGACCTGAAAAATACAAAGAACAATAAAAATCTGAATTTAGATCAACTGAACTATACAAGGCAGCTAAGCCATCTGCGAAGTAGTGCTGTCCTGAAAAACATCCATGAATGTCCTTTTTATACAATTTGAAATGTTGATGTTTAAATTAAAAACATCATGCCCCAAATTAAAAATACCAATGTTTCCTTTAAAGAGGACAAGGGAAATATACATCTAGACACATTATATAATAGAAAGATAATTATTTGTTATGTTCTCTTTCTTAAACATACTTGATCTTCAGTGAAAAGGGCAGGCCAGCGTCTCACCATCGTGCTTATGGCAGGTTCCGACTCCACTACCTCTTTTCTTCTCAGAGCAAACGTCTGATCCATCTTCTGTTTCACAAGAGGTCCGTTTGGTGTTCTTTTCTGCATTTCATCAACCAAGTCTTTACAGGCCTCCAGGGCTGCCTGATCAAATGCACACACATTGTTGGTGTAAGCAGGGAAATGGGACAGTTCTACCATAGTTTCCGTGTTTTAACCGATGTTTTAAAAGGTAACCCCTTTTCACACAGATAAACTCACCGTACTTACACTTCCACAGCATCCTCACACCACAAGAATCTGTAAAACAAGAAAACGTTTAGGTCAACAACTCAGCACTCAGTTAAATACAATAAGGTAATAAAACCGAAACAACACCTGTGTTACAGAGAAAACCGGCATGTAAACAAGCGTGTGTGAGGCCGGTTACACACTGCCGCGGTGGCATTTCTGTTGCATGTCAGCCGCGTGGATTTTTCTGTCTTTTCACACCAGAAAAGTGTCTGACGTGGCGCTGCTGCTGCTAGCCTTGTCTGGACACATGCATGGGTTCCCATTGATTTACTGCACTCAAGCAGTATACTTCATGTTACACATAAATATATACTGATTTTATTACAGCAAAGACAAAGACAAGTATTGACGGTAAATACACTACAGTATATTGCATTCTGTACATCGAAAATCGATCATCTTTTTGTTTTTTAAATTACATTTGTATATCTGCATTTATGTCATAAACTCGAGACTTCGAACATCAACATGCCATTTATTAAATGAAATATACTAATATATCTTTTCATATAAAATGTAGCCTGGAAACGCTTCCAATGCTTGCGTGTGGCGTGAAATAGCCGTCGGTCCTGTTTCTAGCAGGCAGTGTGTAAGCTCTAACCGTTTAACTATAAACAGACACGCTACGCAGCCAGTGTGTAGAGAGTGAGGGGGGAAAAGAGAGCGGCCAGTGAATCAATGGCTGCAAGTAGCTCGGGTGTAGCTAAACACCTCCACAGCAGATGTAATTTGCCCCGACAGCGGTTGAATCGTTTTTCTATTGCGTAAAATGGCGGTTGAATAAGTGATACAGTCGAACAAACTAACGGTATGTGAGCCGTCCTCACACTGTTAACACTAAGTTAACTTTAAGTTCAGCTAACACTTTTTGAGTAGCTAGCTAGCGAGTTTTAGCAATAAGCATGTATTTACACCATGCACAGGTTCAAACAACAACATTAGACGGAAATAAAAGCTGCGTCAAATTATCTGCAAGCTTTTGGGTATTAAACATTCCCACAAAGATAACTAGGCTACAATAGTTATTTTACATACTAACCATTCCACTTCGAGGTGGTAAGGTTGCTTTCTTGGATTCCGTCTGCTGCCGATGCCTGTGCTCGTCCCGCCAGGTGAAGAGCCCCTTGGACGCACGTTAGACGTTGGTCTGGTCACGTGACCAGGCAGCTTTTTGAATTAGCCCCTCCCCTTTCTTCCAAAAGTAAACATACCGAGTTATCTGTGCTAAAAATGATTAGTGCAATGAATTTGTCAGCTAATTAGTACAAACAACTAATGTTGTTTAGTAATGATAGCAGGTTTTTACTAAACATAAAAGAATAAGTAATGATCACTCGTAAGCTTAATTAGAAACAAAATCCGGCTTTACAGTGCAAACAATATTGTTTGGAATTCATTGTTGATTTGTGGGCATGACGTGAGCAAACCTTTTGAAATGTACTTTTACAATAACACTAAACTTTAATGATTTACATGGGGGTGACATCATTGCAATATGCAGATGCAGCTAAAACAAAAGAAGGTATGAAAGAGTAAGCAAAATGGGGGTATCAGCATAGTAGCAACTGATAATCAATAGGTATATATATATATATATATATATATATATATATATAGGTTTGATGTGATTGGTTATTTGAGGTGTGGTCCATTTGTAAGGACAGCACCTGTTTATGGAGAGTCTTTAGCAGACCAGGAGTCATCGCGCTGTCCGTCTTATGTGTGACATTCAGCTCCAGCCGATCCTTCACAGGCAGACGCTCTCCTTTAGACAGCGCAGTAAAGTATCTGCGAGCGGACACACACACACGCGCACATTTGTACTATTGAAAACACGGTGCTTGGCTTTATGCTTTTCAAGGCAATAAGTGATGCAGTCAAATGATGCATGGATTGACATTAGAATAAATTGTCATGAGGGTTAATCAGTTGAAAAACCATCATGTGTTGCAGTTTAGAAGGAAGTTTACTGATCTTCCAATTGTGCCGAAGGGCTCACTGGATAATTTTATCTCAAAGTTTAAATTATTCAAAAACTAGCTCTCGCAATGAGTTTAGAGGCAGCATGACTTTCATCGTCTTTGAAAAGCTACAGAGCCTGGTGTTATTTTAATGGCGTATAAACTTCTTGCAACCCTGGAGAATGTGATTTGTTTTTGGTTCACCAGATGGCTCGTGTACTGTCCTTTTGTTGTAAACACTGAAGCTACATTGGCAAATAAAAGAACAGCTGAAATTACTTTCCTTAGGGGTAGAAAATGTGCCCCCCTCACACTTAAAGCTCGGTCAATGCAAAAATGGCTACAACAGAGGCTACTTCCTCTGCATGCAGGAAGTCATGGTGTTGCTTGAGAGATCAAGACCGAACGTATTGAACGTAATCACATGTATCCCTTCCCTGTATCCAAACGACCACTGACAAGAGATTGAATCTTACGCCGCAGACCACAGCAGCAGGTCCTCGGGCTGCGTACGGACGGCTGCCTTGGTGAAGTTTTTCAGGATGTCTGGCAGCTCTTGGGCGATGTCGATTTGCTGGGCACAGAACATTGTGTCTGGAAGAGGCATGGGTGCAATATAAAACATTGCAACATTGTCCAATTAGCAGATAGGAGCTTCATCCGAGAGGACATCCATGAGACATAATCTGAAATAAAGTGGCAGCTCGCAACCAGAATATTAACTTAAGGATGGAATAGTGGTTCTTCTCGGGGATCTAAAGTTGCTGTTTCAATACGTTTGAGAGGAATACGAAGTAAAGACCATGGGAGCTACATTAAAAAAAAAGATAACATCTCCATAGATTCATTTCCTCATCGTGAGCAATAAGATAAAATCCGAATTGAAAACTAGGTTTTAAAATGAACCAGACATCAATTTAAGAGCGTTTAGGTGAATGAGATGTAAGACTGCAAGGTAACGGTAGTAAAAAGCCGAACATGTTATCAACGTCATTTCCCGGAAGTTATACGTTACAGTAACGTTAAGCTAACAGCAGCTAAAACCGACGTGGTTAACGGTAAGTTTACCGCAAAAACACGAGTTTTTGGTCCTGATGTCCAACATTGTCATAAAACCTCATTTTGAATAAACGTCCACACATCAACAAATTTACCGTTACCTGGATTGCTGAATAATGACGTTTAGAAAAAGGAGATAAACTACACCGCGAGAGGCAGCCTGTGTATCGCTTGCAGCCCCGTTGCATAGCAACGGTCTTCTTCTCTGGTTTTCGAGGGGTAGATGTCGTGCCACGTGAAGTGCGACATTGCCCCCCTCCTGTTGGGAGACGTCAACTGATTAACCTTAACATCGGCTTGCCTTTGTGAATTCTAATCCGACCGATTGTGTAAATTTACTGGAATGATGAACGATGCAACATGAGGCCGTGAGTAAAAAAAAAAAAAAAGTCTTTTCATTAATTTACTTGTTTGGGAAATGTCAAGCCAAAAGGTAAGGGATATATGCCGGAAATGGAAATGTTTTTGATATTAAAAGTACCATAAAAGTGGAAAACACTGACATTCGGACAAGAACTTGGCAGACACCATTCTGTGTAAACACACACATTTATTGAAGTGTTGCCGTAAACAGGCAAAACATCCTAATGAAGATTTTATTAATAAACAGCTTCTTGAAAATACAAGTTTACAGACAGTTATTCGGAAATAATTTTACATCTACCAGTATTTGGTAACTGAACACACAAAAAAAAGCAAAATATCTCCACCATCCTTGACGTTCAAAAGGTGTCAGCAATTATGAAAGACGACAGGAGACAAATTCATACTTGTGCAATGAGCACACATGCACTGCCAGGTCACATACAACGACATGTGCAGACCTCTTCTAGCACACTAATAGGGTTGAGCAGCTAGAATCTTCTGGTAAAACCCTTTCCAGGTTCAACCACCTTTTTATGTAATGGGAGCCATGTAATACAAACAGCACAGCGTTTCCTCTCCCATGTTTTTACATTATGGCCAACTGAATGGGTCTAAAACGCCACCACGAAACAATGATGGAGGGATGGACTTTAGCAAAACAACACAGGTCACGTGGACTTGATTGTGGACTGTCCCAAGGTGCTGCTTTTACCCCTCCCGTTTGTTATCTCTTACTCCACTTAATACAAAAATAAAACTGTGCTTCCCCCAAACCCCTCTAGACGCTCTCCTGTGCCTAAAAAAAGCACCTGGGATCACATAATACTCCCGATGGACACCTTACGCAGCGACTACACTGCTCCAAACCCACTAAACCTCTTTCCTTAAATGGAATCCTACCCTTCCCTGGACGAGGCTCGGGCCAATTTATCATTTTAGCGGAGTTCAAGTGCAGCTAAGCGATCTGCGGTTTCTTCAACCCAATGAAACCAAATGCACTCTGGACCGCAGAGCACAAAAACATATCCGGCTCGACAAAAGCACTTCATCGCAGAGAGCTGAACTATCTGTCATTGAGCCAGCTGTGTTCACGGCTGGGATTCCCCAAAAGCGTCGCAGCGCTAAACATTATAGATTTAACGCAAACGGGGAAAAATAACATTTAAAATGATGCAAACGGCATTTCAATACACTCCACTGTCGATCACATTCAGCCAGAGGTTGTAGATTGACGAGAGAGAAGCAATACAATTGAACGATCTAATCTAGTAGGACGTGAACTTGGACAATAAAGTACGTACGACTGACCGATAGCGCTTGTTATTGTTCCGAGCTGCTGCTGCTACCGAAACCTAGAAAAAAGGGAGGAAAACACAAGAAATTTTAGAAGTAACTAATGATTGAAATATAGGCAGTCCTTATAATGCTGTTTGATATTTAATATCTTTAATCTCCCAAAAAAACTAAGATAAATTCGATCGGCCAAAAAGTTGATTGATGATGTCTTCTATTTCTCTACATCTCTCTATGCTATTTGATCAAATATGTTTTTTTTAAGGTGGGCGGATTTTCCACAAGTGATCAAAACCGAACTCCAACTTTAAATCTGCACAGGATACTTGAACATTGAGGTACTGTCGGACAGGCTCACTGGGCAGAATGTGTTTGAAATATGTCGTTGGTCATCAGCACAAAAAGGGTGTTTATATAATTAGCATTGAAATGTTTCCTTTCCACCATTATACTTCTGGGAAAGCTTTTTTATTCAACAGTTGTTTTTTAATCATAAATACAATTTTCAAACATCTTCTTTCTTAAGATGGCTCATTAGGTGCATTTCCAAATGCACCTAATGAGCAAATTACTTCAATCCTGATAGGGAAGTTTTTTGGCGAGCTCCCGCTGTCTTTCCCCCATTCAGTCGTTTTATTTACACTCCCAAAACCCCGAGCGGCCAAAACACACCAACACACCACGGCCTCTTCTCGGACATACCTGAAGCAGCAGCACCACACAAAGATCTCCTATGAGTCTTGACACAAGTGCTCAACTGTTTGAGTTTCAGTAGGCGCGTGGTTCTAAAGTGAACGTTTGTCCAAAATAGTGTTGAGTGTTTTTGAACAGGCTGCTTGTAACTAAGATTAGCCAGAAAATGACTTCCACTTTATGGCAAAGGCCCAATGTGGTGATTAGCTGTAGCTTGATTAAAAATACTTCATATTGTCAAATCAGTTAAGGGCGCCAGGAGTGTCAACACTGTGTGTTTCATAAGCTATGAGACAACACTTATGCGTGTAATCAAGGGCGGAGAAAGGTTGAGGAAATGTAATATTCCACAAGGGGTCATGTACACATTTTAATCAGCCAGCAACGACCCCTAATTAGGTTATTTTTGTAATTTGTTTTCATGTGTGCAAGAACAACTCTTAATTACAGGCTGGACAAAGCAACGTAATTTATTGTTAACATATTCAACAAACGCTGGTACACCTGATCAGGAAAGTAGTATTACTAATAAATACATTCAAAAGTTTACATAGACTCAAATACATACTATTAAGAAAAGAACCCCCCTCCCAATGCACGCACACACACACACACACACACACACACACACACACACACACACACAAACGCACACATAACGTCTTTGGGTGAGGCCGAGAAATTAAACGGAGGATACTGAAAGTCCCAGAAAAGTGTTGACATCGGAGGAAAACCCCTGTGACTTCTCTGTAGAATTACAAAGTGAATATATCATCTTTGTTCTCACTCGTGTATTTGGGGATTGTGAGATCATGATTCCATGAAGAAGATAATTGGGCCTGAATAGATAAATGCATTTGGTCATTTCTGTCCTTCATCATTCTGAATCAGCTCTTGATGGGGTTTTTTGTGGAAAAGTTTGAAAGATAAGAAGCAGTTGGGTTCGTATCCTCCAAATGGATGAAGTCCAGCGGTTTTATCATCCCGCATTGGAGCTCCCTGAAACAAAGCGGGATGTCAGACATCTAGGAAATACATTTTCACTGCATAACACAACCAATTGCCTAAATCTCCAGTAGTGAAACGCACTGACATGATGCTGCAGAATGCATTGCCTCATGCTTCTGCTAGTTGGTTGTGAGGGTTTTTACTATATTGTGTCTTTTTCAACATTTCATAACCTTTTCAAACATACTTTGGCATTTTTCAATATACTAAATACTAACACTAGCACTACTTTTATTTCTACTGCTATTAACACTAAAATGACTCCTAGTCCTAAAAGTGGTATTACAAATACCACTAATACTGGTAGTGGTGACACTGATTACTATAAAACAAAATTAGCAAAACCAAATCAACAGATTTGATCACTTTCAATTTCAACAGAGTTTGGTATTACAGTTGCAGTTGTTTATGTGTCACAAGCTGCCGTGTCGTGGTACTTCACCCAGTTAAAGAGCGTGTGTTGCGCTTTGTCATTGTTGTTGTACATGTATAACCATAACTCAATCTCAATACACGTAAGATAAGTAGCTCCGACCGCTTTGCGCCTGGTGATGAGGTGTAAAAATAAACCATGCTGCCTGCTGAAGAGCAATGGCATTTGTACCGGCTTAACCCAAGCAAATCCTGTACCAGCGTACCGGTTGAAACAGTCTACCGCACAGCCCCAGCTACAACCAATAGAACTTGGAGCAGAACGCTGGGCCGCTGAACACAGAGAGCGAGACAAAGTCCTTCTCTCGGCCCGTAGAGACCAATGCAAAGCTGCTGACATAAATTGTCAGAGAAAGCAGAAGGTACAAGTTTTGGAAACTGGCAGAGACATATAAATCATAGAGGGAAGCTGCAACACCCCTTGTTTCAATAAAGCGACAACTTGATCATGCCACATCAGGGACAAAGTTGTATATTTTATAGCAATTGCAAATTGGCCGATGATGTCATCAATACCTAAATAAACGATAGATAATTTCCATAGTTTAATACTACAATTACTGTAACTAAAACTGGTTTGTTGTTGCATTCAATTTAAAAAGAACCAATGCTGGTTGTTATGCTTTTATTTTTTCTTACTTCCATATCATATAATTGAACGTTGTTTCTACTTGGATTTATTATGTATAACTTTAATTGGGATTTAATATCAAGAGAATATTACCTGTTTTTCATTATTGTATAGGATGTTTGAAGCACTTAAGTTTACGAGTAACGTGAACTTGGTTGCTTTAAGGCAATCGGTTTGCATGGTTTAATCAAGTAAATTACTTTTCTGTTCAAGTAGATAATACTGATATATTTCTAGTTGCAGAACATGTAACATTAGTTAGCCCAACTTAAATAACTGTGCTGTTTGTAATGCACACAAAGTATACTTCACTTGAAATAATTAAGTTGTTTGAAATGGTCATTTGAAGTAATGAAAACTGAGTATTTCTTAGTTACTTCAACTAAAGTGTAACTATACTACACTAAATAAGCTCGTTAGTACAACATATAATACATTATTAACTTTACTTGAATGTAAAAAGTTCCTTTACTTGCTTTTTTTAAGGCAATTGGGTTGCATGCTTTTTTTAAGTAAGGTTTACTAATTGGATTTTACAGTGTACTAATAGTAACAATCATACAAAAGAAATGTAGCAGTGGTCACCGTAGTAGCAAGAGTAGATCCTACATAAACAGTATATTTATACAATACCAGTCAAAGTTTTGGACAAATGTTCCCATTTATTTCATTACATTACAGGGTAAAAAAGCTGTGGGGTGTGCTGCAGGGTAAAAAGCTGTGGGTTAATAGCTGACGCTTTTAACCCACAGCTTTTTACTGAACATAATAACGTAGTTTCATTTCACAACATTAACCACATGTTTACAACTGTTTTCTCAAGAAAATATTACTTTTATAATCATCAGTTTGAGAAGAAGAAGAAAAAGGGGCTCCAATAGAACACGGAGCAGAATGTAGAACATTCTATGACATCACAGAGAATTCTCCATACAGAATGTAGAATGTGGAAGGATAGATTATCAGAGCTCATTTTGGATCCCCACTCAGCGTGAACACATCAACTTTACATTGCAGAGGGATTCTCAAAGACTCAAAGATGGCCCGCCATCCGCCGAAAGGACTGAAAAGCTTGGTCGAGTGTATGGCCAGAGCTACAATCTCCACACATCCTGCCGACATGCCAGACTTTTTAGTGGAGTATACGTCAGAGCTCAACCAAACAAGAGGCTCTAAAACTGAAAGCAATCCAGTGGAAATGTGCTTTCGATTCCAAGAGGCTCACGGTAAGATACTGTCTAAATATATAAAACATGATGTTTGGGTAATCATATGTTTTGTTTATAGAATGTGAAAATTTCAGAAAGTGAGGAACATAAAGTGAAAATAAACCTTGGTTTAAAGGTCATTCTTAAAAATGTGATGCTATTCGTAATTGCTCCGATTGTGCTTGGTATCCAAGTACTGACATGTAGTAAGGGTCGTCGTGGTGCAGGGGTTAGAGAAGGTGTGCTGGGAAGCACAAAGTTAGTAGTTCGAGGCCAGGCTGCCCCATGTTCCGTGATGAAGTGTCCCTGAGCAAGACACCTAACCCCAAATTACTCCCCGGGCAAAAATGTGAAAAAGCCATTGTTTTAAAGTGTAATGTAAGTCGCTTTGGATAAAAGCGTCTGCTAAATGA